ATTTAATTATGAAATATTCAAAACAAAATAAAATTTATGTTTATAAGAAAAAAATTAGTGTAGGAAGGTTAGAGCTGACATGTAGTTGTTGTAGTTTTTTTTGTATACTTATATTTTTTTAAAATTTAATTACATAATTTTCAATTTGGTTATAATACAAGTGTATTTGAAATATATACTTATGTGACCAAATATAGGGAAATTGTGAAAATATTAAAAATGTCATCTAGTTTTTTTGTGGTTTATAGGTACAAGAAACATTTGCTCTAATTTGAAAAAAAAATTTTCTTCAACTTATTTTTGTTATGTTAAGCATTTTTATTAATAGTTTTTGTTGTTAATATTCAAAATGAACTATTGAAGTAAATGGAAGTCATAACATTCAGGAATTTTCCAAAAAGTGTGTTAAGTTTAATGCCACATTTTGTTTTGCTTTTGTTTTATCTATTTATTAAATAATGAGCTATTGAAAAATGTAAAAGAAAGATATTTATAAAATGGAATTACGAGAGAAAGTAGATTTTTTGAAAAATTTAAAAAATATTGAATTGACAAACTATGATATTTCAGAATTTTTAATATTTTAGTATTCAAAAAAGAACTTCTTTTCAAATTTCTGCTAAATAAATTATACTCTTAAAGAAAACTTATTTTTAAAATTTTTTAATTTTTATAATTTTTAAGATATTATTGAGAAATAAATATGTGCGTATTATGCGATATTCATCATTCCTTAAAAAAATTATTCGTATTCACTGTACTATACGAAGGAGGTAATAATCTGGAATGTGTCATATAAGACATGAATGCAGTTGCTTGCTGAAGGAATTTTAAAAATTATAGCTGATACATAATACAGAGTGTGACGTGCAATTCCAAATTGTTCAGAGATTTTAAGTGAAATTTGAAATACATTTTAATAAAAGGAAAGTATTATAACACAAACGAAAATATTGTATATACAGTTAAGAATTATTATGAAGCTCTTTTTAAATTAGTTCAAAGAAATGAGACAAAAATGGAATGGAAAGTAATTAAAATTTGACAGCAAATAAATAAATCAACCAAACTAAGTACGAAGTCTAATAAATTAATTGCAAAATTTAAAAACAAAACTTCCTTTTTAAATTTTCTAACTTTCATTGGCTTAATTGATAAAAATTACAAATGAAAATCAAAAATTACAATAAAAATCACTTATATAACTTTCCAAAATTTCATAATAAATAACGTTTAATTTATGGTCTGGTCCAATTGTTGTATTGAAATATTTTATTGCAGGCGAATTCAAAGCCGAATTAAAAAAATAATGCATCTATTGATGATTGGTAAATTTTTCTTTTACGAATTTTTTTGTATACCCAATATTGGGAAAACTATATATGTAGGTCTTATATTAAATACAAAATAATAAAATGTTAATTTCATTCGGTAAAGTAACCATTTCTTATTGCAATGTGTAGTCAAATTTTTGTCGTATGCAATTCAACATGAGTACGCGATTTGTATGAATTCAATATAACATTAAAATAAAAGTGCTACATGGTGCTATACCTATATTTGAATACCTACATATTTATTAAGCATTAACTTATTTTCCTATTTTTTATGTAATTCTTATTCTTAATATGGTTTAAATCAATTTGTATGTATGTATATTCATTTACATTTCTGAGCATTCAAATTTTATAACTTTAAGCGATTTTATTATTTATTGTGATTTCATGTATAGTTTTATTAAATTATTCCAATTTTTAAACTTTATATATAACTGGTCCATTATTTTTTTACTCTCATTTAAACGATAAAAAAAATTAAATTAAAGACAAGAAAAAATTATAATAAACACAAAATATACATACGTGTACATTATGTAGATTTATACACGTATATAGAGAACATACACATATACGTGCACTGTAAGATTTTATCATATATAAAATATATTTTAAGGTTTATTTCAGCACAAAATTCACATACTCGTATTTAACGATCTTCTTTTCTCGTATTTTATAAATTACCAATTAAAAATGGTAAACGAACAAGTGATTTAGATGAAACTGCAAATAACTACCTGTACGAGTATTTTTAATATATGTATGCATGTATATAAATATATGAGAATCGTTGTTTATAATAAAGATCGTGATAAATTATACAAATGAACTATAATAATTACTTAACGGATTATTAATGAAATAATAACAATTATCCATATTAGTTATATTATGTAAATATCTTAAAGAGTTTGTATTTATATTAAATAGTTATTACCGTCAATAATTTAAAACTATATAAATTTAAAATTAACTTTATTTTTGATGTTGTTAAATTTACCGTACATAAATTATGTTTTGCATTTTAAGTTTTACCGAAATCAATTAATACATTTAAGTTTAACTTAAGTCATGGCCTAAATTTTAATCTAAAAAAATTATTTACTGTAATTTATTTGTAAGATTTGTATCCCTGAATAAAAATTTATTCCATCTCTGCAATATCCGCACGAAAGTAAAAAAAATAAACCTTCCTTTTTTGGAATAGTTCTTTTAATAAAATTTGGGTTTAATTCATTTGCGTACATTGCAATTTTTATATGTTAAATGGGAAATAGTTCTGAATTTATATGGCGAGACAGCTATTATATCAACTTATACAAGTTGTGAGCCTGTTATTCCATTCATTTATGCGAAACTTTAGCTTTTTAAAGTGTTAGCTTTACAGTTCCCAAAATTTGATTAAAATATTTTAAAAGTTGTATGGCAGTCATTGGAGTCATTTCTTTGATTGAATCCGAACTAATTAAGATTCTTGCAGTAACAACTTTTTTTAATTGGGAAAAAGTTGGTTATCCTAGCTTAATGTGTTCGAATTTCGTACACATGGAATTATGTACAGTAGCATCAGAATTGTGTGGGAATAGCCAAAAATTCGAAAAAATTCAAAAATTTCTTCATCAATCTTTAAATATTTTAATTTTTGATCCGAAATGATGTAATTGTTTCTTGTTCTTTTAACTTGATAATAAACTATTCAATAATTAATTAAGAATATTGTAAATCAAGGTAAATCCTGAAATTGTGAAATATTGTAATTAAAATATTTTAAATAGTATTTATAGGTTGAAAATGTGTAATCAATTAAATTGAGGCAATTAAAAAACAACTTTTAATAAAATATTTAATAAGAGCAGGAAGTAAATTGTTTGTCGTATTTGGAAATAAAAAAAAATTTAATTAGTTTTTAAAATTGTTCGGTGCGTTTTTATTTTTATTCTGAACTATATATGTACATACATATGTACTCGTATGTAAATATGTGTAGAAAAAAATTATAGGTTAAATAACAATTGGGCGAATTGTTTCTTTCATTGCGTTTCAAGAGTTAAATTTTTAGGTCTTAAAATAAATGAACAATATTGTATAAAAATTTAATTTATAATCTCTCTGGATGTTGCTTACTATCAATTTAAATAGTAATAAATAGGAATAAATTAAATATAGAATTATGTTACATTTAAAATTTCGATGCGTCGTACTAATTTAGAACTTATTCTCAAATAAAACATTTTGCTGGTTTATGTAAAAATTTTTATTACCATTGCATTTCAAACATAAAAATCCGAACTTTGTAATATTCGTTTATGTAAAATTTTACAAAATTCATTTTTAAATTGATTTAGCAATGGTGTATACAACTCTTACATTTTATATGTATAATTAATCTAATTTGTATTAATTTATTTATTAATTGTTTTTATTTGTACATAACATATGTATAATTAACTAATCTAAATTGCTAAAAATTTCTTTAACTGCTAATTTTTATACATTGAATATAGCTAAAGTGTAAATTGAAATTTCTAAAAATGTAAGTAAGGTATTAAGGTGAGCTTTTCAATTCAACGCCTGAATGTATGCAATTTGTTTTCAACATATTGTCGTCGTTTTTTTCGTAACGACAATGAATGTAATAATATTTGTGGCTGAGATTTTGGAGAGGTAAATTAATGTTCATTTTTTTAAAATAAAATAAATTTAAATTTAAATTCATATTAAATTTTTATAAATAATTTTTAAAATAATTATTTCAGAGTACAATTTCCTGAAGTTTTGCGTAAAGTATATGTATGTTTTTCAATATTATACTCGTATTTAGATAATAGGCACAAACATTTTTGTATAGTGTAATTGAAAAAAAAGTGTAATTGCAACTGTCTTTATGATTTCAATATCTCTTAAACATATTTATGAAAAAGAAATTTGTTAACAAGGCAGTTAAATTAAATAAAAGGTAAATTTAGCATTAAAAAATTATTTGGAAATGATAAACTCTTATTTGTTTTAAACTTAATAAATAAAATGTTCTTGCAATTTATGTTGCAGTAAAGTCTTTGAAAAAAAATGGAAAATTATTTTTTTACAAACTAAAATGTGTAAATTCAATTTACGAATGGAACTAAGATCAAATACAAATTGCGAAGGGAAATCATAATTTTAATGACTAAATCAATTTGTTAACCCAAACAGTACCGTTCAATTGTGTCCTCACAAGGTTTACCCCTTGTAAAAATTTTAAATGAACTACATCTCATTGCCTCATCAATGAACGCATCAATTTATTAATACATTTCACATTTGTTTCCTTACTATTGTAACTTCATTTGCGTCTTTATTTCTTTAATTTTGCTTTGATTCAATGAAAAGTTCTTTGAGTTTAAATTTCAAATTTTTTTCAAGTTCTCTAAAATACATATAATATATATATACAATTTTGTTTTTTCTTAAAATAATTTTAATTTTATACAATTAAATACATGAATAGGAACAACACAATATTAAAATATAAAAATTAAGTGAAATTTTGACTGGAATTTGAATTAAACTATTGGAATTCTTCTCCATTTGAGCAAAGTATCATGGGATTACTAAAAAAAATATATATATATATATAAATGGTTACAGTTGTTATATACATATTTTTTCAAATATTTTTTTTACCTTTCCGATGGCACCATAAATATATTTTTGGGTACAGATTTTAATGCTGTTGTATCACAAAGAAGTTTGGCTGCGGTCCATGAACCAAATTGTTTATTATTATTATCGTACATATTTTCTATGCTCTCCAAATTTCTATTTTGTAAATTATAATGTAATTGTCTGGTATTTGAAAATTGTTCAGCTAAAAAATTGAAAAAAAAAAATTTAATATTAAATTATCTGCATTATTTTTTAAGGAAAAATAAGTTCAAAACTTGTGATTATTATAGTAAGACATTTTAATCTGGATTATATAAACTAATTTTTTCAAGACATTTATATTTTGAAATTATTATTAAATTCAACTGGTATAAGTATGGCGAAAAGCAGTTCTCAGTATTACATAGTACATTATATATTGTTCCTCACTTAATTATTCTCAACTTATAATTTAAATTAATTATAGCTACTTAAAATAATATCAAATTATTTACGTTAATTTAGCTTTCTAACCGAGAAAATAGAGTATTGAATTTTATTTTATCACTGTTGTTAATCAACAAATTCTCATAATTATGATCTAGAGATCGTATGAAATTTTCATGTCGGATGAAATTAATTTTAAAAATTTGATAATTGCCTTATAATTTAAAATTCGTTTAAATAAATACAAAATATTTACTGTCTAGCTCTAAAAATATATCATGCTATCTTAATTAATTCTTCTAGCACTTATAATATTTATTTTATTTCCTTTTACCTATATCTATCAATATATCTATATCTATCTAATTTTCCAAAAATTTAATATTAGCTTTTGACAGGTTAACATGATTTATAAGCAAAATATTGCCAAAAATGTTGCCATTATACATTCAATGTTCATAACATTCAAATAAACTTGTTATAAATTTTTGATAAATTCATTTATAAATGTAAAGCAATTGTAAAACGTGATTGGAAATTCATTCTAAAACGCATGTGATGTTTGTTAAATTGGGTATGACTGGTAAAATTAACTGGTTTGTTAATTTAAATTTGGCTGGTTTTTTTTTCTCGTATTAAAATTTTTTTTTTTAATTATAAATTAATTGAGGTTATGATAGTCATTTATTTTGAAAAAATATCAAATATATAGTGAGAAAATTATTTTAATACGCTATATGGGTTTTTTTTAACCTACATATTTAAAAATAACATTAAGGTTTATATTTCTGATATTATGAATTAAAAAAAAAATTCACCAATCTTATCTTTGCGGTTTGTGGTCCACCGAACTGGTTAGTCAATTATTAAATTATACTTTTTCGTTACCGACAACACGTTTCTTTTTTTTTTTTCAATATCATGAAATAAAGTGTAATATCATTAAGCCTGTTTGTAATTGTAGATAAGTATCTTATATGTCTTTAGTCTATCTTATAGTTCCAATCAATTTTACTACTATATGATGCATTTGATTAAGTCTGCGAAGTGCAAAAAATTTTCAAATAGGAAATAATTTTTTTCTCTTTTGGAATGTTTTGCATAAAAGAACCACTTTATGATAATTGAATGTTTGCTTTCTGAAAATTTTGTGAATTTATATAACAAATGAAATTCGAAAATGATTTTGAGTCCTAAATTATAAAATTATATTATAAAAGTAATCTGACCTGATTTAAAAATAAACATGTTTTGTAAATTAAGTGGACTTGATTTAATTTAAAAAATCACAAATTTTAATTATTGTAGTAAAAAATAGGAAAAATTTCTGATTAATCCTTTCATATAATAGAAAATTAGAATGTTTTTCATACTTTTTGCTCATTTAAATGCTTAAATTGAATCAAATCCTACTTTTAATTTTAAACGAGATTATACTGAATGATTTTTAAAATTAAAATTTCAAATTGGAATTTTCTTTTAATACCTAAAATACATGTGAAGGTTGGACCGACTGCAGAATCTCTTTTTGGATTTTCTGATATTCCACCAATGATTAAATCAATATTTTCCAAATTCTTATAGACCAATTTCAATTTTTCGATATTCTAAAATAAATGTTCAAATTTTAAAAATCAAAATACTTTAAACAAGTTCTCTTTTTGAGTTTTTGCATATTAAATGTCAAAAATTTACCTCACTGTCAATATACTGTGCTAAATCTCCCCATGTTGTGATTTTTGTATTCTCGCATTTCTCTAAATATTTGACATAAGGTTGAAGACCATGATCACGATTTCTTTGAATATCCCAAGCTAAGCTATCTAATCCATTTACTTTATTTGAAGACGATTTTGTTTGCAAATAATATTTTGACATCTAAATTGATATTTGAAAAACATTAAACTTTCAAGAATGCTCATCATGAGCTTGTATATATCATGTTCAAAAGAAGTTTAACTTACACTTTCAGAATATTTTGAATCCATTTTCATTGCTTTTTGTATTAGCATTGCTGAAAAAGCGCTATTCATTTTCTGTGGGTTTCCAGTAAAATTTGAACTATAAAATTGATCTTTTAGCGAAAATAATTTAGTTAACGGTCCATCAGAACTATTCAAGAATTATTTTATCATTATTCAACATAATTTTTTAATAATAAAATTTTTATTAAAAATTACCTTATGCCAACATCGATTATATTTGTTTCTTCTAATTTACGTCCAAATGGTTTAATTTGTTCATATAAAACGTTTGGCATCATTGAGAAATAAAATCGAATAGCTGCTATTCCGAATTCATTTGAAGTACCAAATTGATTTATATCATGAAAATATTTCAATGGTTCTTCATTAATTTGTTGGGCTATATTTTCACCTAAAGTTGCTGGTATCCATTCATTATAAATTATTTCACGATACATTGCAATATTAATTTTTTTACTTTCCAAATATAATTGATTATCAGACCAATTTGGATATTTTCCCTTTAATTTTCTTGCAATTCGATTGTGAGATCTCAAAAATAATGTGTATATCATAGTAGCAAAAGGATTGTTGTTGACTCTTGAATCACCTTTTAAAAAAATTTAAAAATATTTTAAAATTTCTTTTGATTAAATCACATTCTACTTAATTTATGTTAAACTTTCCCCGCAATATATGCAATTTTTTTGGCAAATATATATAAAATATTTTTTAATCAATATTACTGTGTATAATTTAGTTACTCATACTCACTTACCAGCCATAAAGCATTCCGATGAATTTTCTACACAATATTTCTCTGAATTTACAGCTTTTGGTAGGAAAGGTAATCTAGCTGATTTTGGCATTGAACTTTTAAGTTTTCCATTTTTATATAATCTCATTTGAGATTCAGAATTAGGTATTCCATATAATTGAGAAAGATCTAAACCACCAACAGCCTCGTTTAACTATTTCGTACAAATAATTGTTTATTATTAATATCTTCAAAAAAATAAAAAATTATTTAATTTAAATTTAACCTGTTCTGCAGCTCCAAATTTGCATAGTGGGTTAACAGCTAAAGCACTTCTTACATAATTTAAACATGAAACAAAATCATATTTACTGTGTGTAATACCCTCTAATGGAGCACAAGATGGATGTTGATAACGTGGGGAAAGTTTATAATAATCCGAATCACAACACTCTATTGGTTTACCATTATCTTGAATTAAAATATAAAATTCCAAATTACATATTTAAACAAATTTTTAAAAACAAATAAATTTTTGAAATTTACTCATTGATTTGACAACTGGTTTACTCAGATCATGTTCTATAAATTGTGCCCATTGTACAACAATTAAATTTCTACTTGCATCTTCTTCAGAATTATGCATATTATTTTTATTATTAATAGCTACAATTTTACTAATTTCCCGTGGTTTCGGAAGCGATGGCGGTCCATAAATCTTAAAATTATATACATTACACATAATATACGAGTAACACTTTCAAAAAGGTATAAAATTTTAAAAATTACCTTATAAAATCCATCTTCATAATTTGCTGGCAATAATCGACGGAAAGCTGAATGACCAATACGCAATTTTGAGTTAATTAATTGACAATTTTGTTGCAAACTGCTTTCTGGTAAGGATGTTTTTGAAAATATTCTTTGACAATCTTTTCCCGATAATCCATGTGGTAAACAAAATGAATTAAGTATATATAAACTGGATTGTAATATTTCACTTGCAATTCTATCATCTTTTTTAGCATCATCACTTGGTAATGTTTCCAAATATGTTGCATGTGATAGACTTCCATTTTGTACTGTAATTTCAGAATTCAAAAGATTTCTCTCTAATCTAGAACAGAAAAATTCAAATACTTAATATAAAAGACGAGAATAAATCGAAAAAACTTACATATCTTTTGATTGAATTGATTGTATTCCCAACTCTATGAATGATTTTAAATCGGAATCTGTTAACTGATTTAAAATTCTTTCATCATTACCAGATAATTTATAATCGGAATCTGAAAATAAATTTAATTTTAAAGCACAAATTTTATTTATAGCTATTTCATGTAAGGTGTGATTAATAATTTCTTTACATTTAATTATTATTAATATTTTGATTTGTTCATTTAAATATAAAATATTTGTTAATTTCTTTAAAATTAAAATATTTTTTCTTTGTTTTTGTTATTGATGAACTTTATGTCAAGATTAAATTTTGTAATGATAACATTTATTTAAATATAAATTGAATTTAAGTTTTATATTGTAATACAAACATGTATATATACATTTATATAGATATAAACAAATAATTATGCAATTTTTTGTGACGATTTAAAAAATTAAAAGGGTTGTTTACGATTAATATTGACCACTCATTTTTAGTTATAAAATTTATTATTCAATAATCAAAATAAATTACTTCAAGTATTTTGTGCTGCAACTATTATATTATCTATTAAATGTATTCTAATGAAAAATAGTGAACTTTTCTAAATTTCACGTTCTAAATGAATGTTAAAATTCACTGGCATTCATCCCTTCAATTAAATATTTTCATTGTAAAGGAAATGGAGTAAATATGAGTAATAATTTATTATTAAATGCCAAATACTTGGAAGCAATGCTTAACATATTGCATGGGTTTATATAATAGTTAACAAAAATATTATCAACTACGTAATTCTTAATTATTATTTGGTGTAAGTGTAATTTATTTTGAATTATTTAAATAATTAAAATATTTTATTAGAAATAAATTGTAAATGCCATATCCAATTTCTTTCTTAGTCTATTAAAATTCCTACGTACATAATTACATTTATTGTGTAAAAATTGTAAACAAATAAGTTTCCTGTTCAACCAGTTTTCATTCTTTTCGATTACAAAATGCATAATTATTGTATGTACATACGTTACTGCATAATATGTATATATTATATATGCACAGTAAGTATACATATTATATCATTTAAATACACATACCGAGAACACAATGTTACAGTTATTTTAATCGTATGACTATTACATATAGTCTTTATTTATTCGTATAATTAGAAAATTTTCCATATTTCTCCAAAATATAAAATTTTATTTATGAATTACTAAAAACTATTCAAATTCAATAGGTTTGTTCAAGTTATTACAAAATCATATTGTTGTCAAACTTCCCAGAGTGTTTTCGTGAAATTTTTTCACGTTCTCAGGACAGTAAAGTGTCCCAGTCAAGGATTTTTGATCAAAGACTCTAATTTTTAAGTTTAAACCGCAAAACGCAATTTTTTGCTTTTTGAAAGTTTTCATTTATAGGTAGGTATGTGCATAAATCTGAAGCGTCTGTCTAACATCCGAGAGAAAAAATATACATAGAAAAAAAAAAGTATATTGCAAACATAATGTTTTAATTGCAGTGTTAAGAATGAGCAAAAGGATGTTACTAATAAAATCGTAATAATATGTACTCTTCTTTACATCCATAAACATTTTTTGTTTTTGGAAAAAAGAGCGGTCGTATCTGTTTCTTACTTTAAAGGACAAGCTGAAATTGATTAGGTCAGATTTAGATAATAAAATTTATTGTTTGGTGTTTGTGCAATACACATATAATTTTTTATTTAAGCCTTTCATTTGTTACACCTTAAAATTTAACAATATTTTTTTTTGTTTTTATATTTATGCGTTTCATAAAGAAATTCTCTTTGTCCCGGTTTATTTCGGTGAAAATCTGACACCCCTAAATTATAACTAAATTACTATTGTTAAAGCTTACATTCATATACGAATAATGTATACAATAAAATTCTACAGTGCCTTTAATCAATTTGTTTGACTATTATGTATAATAATAAGTTATACGCAGATAGTTGTGCTCATAGATGTCCCCTAACTATACATAAAAATATAATAAGTAGTATGTGATCATAACATTAAATGCATGGCTATTGACTTTGATTCACTATGCTTTCATAATATAATTTATTGAGCTATGTAAGTATATTTTTACTATGAATACTTCTGGAAAGTTTTTGACTTAAGAATATGTAAATGGAATTTAAGTGAATCATACGTATACGCTCTCATACAAAAATCATAAAAAACGTATTCAAAAATATTCCATATATTCATTTGCATATAACATATATGTATATATATACTATTTGAGGTTTAAAAATTTCCATTCAACTCCATATTAAATTATGGTTAGTGAGTATTTTTGATTGAAAAAGAAAAACTAATTTGTTAAGTGGAAATTATGTACATTGGCATTATTGCAAAAGAAGCAAACCAAAACATTTCATTTTAAGAACACTTTGAAGTTAATATTATATTTTGTAAACAAGACCGCCAACGTTTAATGATATTAAATAGGTATTGGTATATGAAATTGTTATAAATACAATTGAAAATGTTTTATTGGATGTTAATAGTATAATATCCAACTGAAAGTTCCCAAATGAAATGTTTCAAAAAAAACTATGTTCTAAACTCTTAATCTGTACTAAATTCTCTTAAATTTCTTGCATTCAGAAAATGTGAAAATTTGACACCTAATTTCGAACAAAAATTTTAGCCATTTTCGATGCCCTAAACTTTCAAACGATATCTACCCAAAGATACCAATGATTATGACATCGGTCCTTTAATATAATAAATATATCGCACAGGCCAGTAACACGCCAAATTACCTTAATAGCTTATAAATCTTGAAGCTTGAATCTATAATAGCTATTAGTGGAAGGCCCTAATGCTTCCAAACGGAATAATGGTACATGTTAAATCACTTATTAATGCTTCACTCTATATGTATATGGATGATGATTATTATGTCCAATGATCCATCTTTATTTATTATTTATTCATTTTGTTTTCAGTTTTTTTACTCAACATCTACAATATAAACCCCATTTGAAATTTCTGAATTAAAAAAAATTTATACTTATATACAAACACAATTTCTTTAACCCAGAAAGCTCAGTCAAATTTAAAAGAGTATATTTTAAAATAATTTGAATGCGCCGTGTCTTTTGATGTGATAAAAAGTGGGAAAAAGTATTTCTATTAACACTTACAACTTAAAACTCAATTTGCTCTTAAAACTCGTTGCTCAAGCCTACAATAAGCAATATATGGTTGGAGACCAGTTATTTTATGAATCTATCTATTATTATCTCATTTTTATTCCAATACAATATTCTTAGTTATTTCGAATATAATTTTAATATTTGGCTTAGTGATGTTTGATTTTTAACAGTATACTCTGACAAAACTCACAACTAATCTGCATATGCTTGCGTTAAGCTGATTGACAGGGGCAACTTATTAGCTCTAAATCATTTTAATAAATTCTGTTTTCAAATTATTAAATCTATTGTTGTCAATTAATTTTATTTTCTTGTTAAAATTTATGCTACTACTTACAAAACCTGAGCCAGAAATGAGTTAATTAATTTTTTGTACATATTAAAGCTTTTCAATGAATTTTATTTTATTTATACAATAAGAAATTATCAAATAAGTTTTATTAGGTTATTAAACTTAAGAACTTGATATTTTGTATTTTAATAATACAAATTAAAATAAGGAAATGATTTTCGAAAAAAGAAATATTTACTACTTATGTTTTATTTACATATATGATTTCGAAATAAGCGTTTTGTCCATGGCACACGACATTTCGATATCAAAATTATTGAGGTGAATAATAAAAAATTGTAAAGATTTTTTTTTATAATTTTTTAATATATGGTCTTCTGATAGTCTGGTTAGACAATCGTAATGCATCTGAGAATATTTTTTTCGAGTTTTTAGTTAGAAAAATATTTTTGATTAGAAATTATTTTATTGTTTTGTTTACTTGTTGATACAAAGCAGTCATAACAGTAAATAATATTAAAATATGAATGTAGATGGAGTCTCTGTACACACTTGTTATATCCACTTTTATCTGCTTTCAACTACTTGTGCTTTTGTTTTGTTTTTATTGTTGTATTTAATTTTAACTTTTAGTTTTGACTGTAATTTAATTTTAAATAAGTAAATATGATTAAAAAATAAAAATAAAGCTTTTATTAATTGACCTGTTCAATGAAGATTAACAACAATATTACTATGCAAATACCTACATTCATAATAAAATTGTTGTCTATTTATGTATGTATGTAAAAAGATTTAATATTTACATATTATGTACATATATGCTTAGAATTTAATCGAAATGAAAACAATATGAAATGTTTTAAATGATTTTACTCCATTCAGAGAGCGACATTGTATTTATGTTTTAAATATTCACATAATGTTGATCACATCTCCAAGTTGTTGGTTTTCTTAATTTTAAGATTATTAAGATCTTAATATTAAGATTATTTTTAAAAAATTTTAGAAGCTCAGGTACATGTCTCTTTGAAATATACTTAAAAAATGGCGGTCAATCGAATTTTCTCCGCCTTAGGTATGTTTACTCTTGTAATTTCAAGAAATGAAATATTAATTTCGGCTTTATTTACTATACATTTACCTGATCATTGGTGCAGTGGTTATGGCACCGGCCCTTTAACCGAAGGGTCTCGGGTTCAAACCCTGGTCAGGTCACTATAAAAATTATATTCAATATTATATTATAACTTAATATGCAATACTAATATATATTATACAAGTAATTTTCAAATATTCATAATATTCGATACTAAAGACTAAGAAAAATAAACAGTAAATACTAACAAACTGAAATATTTAATATAAATAAAAAAAACTACGGTAGGCTAGTCACCTACCTAGCTAACTCTCTATGACTATAGAAACTAATGTATGATAGATATCATGCACTAGCCCTATACTCCTAGAAGGAAAAAAAAAATTTACTATACATATGTATTCCAATTTTCAAAGAAAAATTATATTCCCTCTGCACTTTAAATTACTTTTGGAAGCGTTTACATGTTAAAATTCTCGTAAAATCAATTTTTCTCAAAGAAAATTCATTAGTTCTGAACAAATTCAATTGCTGAAATAATCAAATAATTTAAAAATAAATTAAGTTACACATTTTTGATATTTACGTATGTACATTCGCAGGTGGCATTAGGGAAATTAATAATTTTGTTAACGAAAGAACTATAATTATATTTTCCAATTATATGAGTTCGTAATTTTATAAAATTATCATGTATTAAAAAAAAAAAAAAACTAGGTAATATTAAAACATGAAATTACTTCCTTGTTCAATTTCATAGAACAATTCTGACTTAATTAACTAGATTGCAAAATTTCACAAACATTTTCGTTGCTTTCATCCGTTTTATTTTTTTATAAACAATCCCAATCATAATGAATTATATACAATGTCCCTTATTTTGAATAATATAAATTTTAAAATGGCTCATAATTAGTTCATAATATATTGGAGCCTGATTGTGTATCGCGCTGTTCTATTCGCCAAGTGAGAAGAAAGTGAGTAACTATCATATATTTGTATTATCTAATTTTGGTCTAATAAAAATTATTTCGCGTTGCTTTTTTTTTCTAAAATTTATTCACTTTGTCTTTGCCAAGGTGAAACGAAACGTTCATTCGATAATTTGAGGAAAAATGTAAAAAACCAATTAAAATAATGTGAGAAAATGAAATATCCATTAGAAAAATGGGGACTTCTGATTTGAAAGTTAATAAATAATGAGATGAAAAAGTAGGATACAGGATTAGGCTGTTAATTAGCGCGAATACATTATGAAGAATTGGAAAAATTAATAAAACCAAGATTGTGTTGTCAATAATAAAGTTATGCTTTCACGCAATTTGCTAATATTCGGATTCGACTGTATAGTTAAAACATTAATTCTTATTGTGATGAGTTTTGCATATTAAAATATGTTATTTAAACCGATAGCATTAAAATAGCAGACGTATATTTTTAATATGTAAACAAAACACGTAAAAATGGTTTAAGCATGAATCATAAAATATCTTAATACGTCTAAATAAGCGTGTCTGTAAAGTTTTTGTTTAGAACGTGTTAAAATTTAAAAAAAAAGTAAAGATTTCTTAAGAAGTCCGTAAAAATTCATTATAATTAAATTTCTTTGTGATTTATTTTTTATTTGATAATATAAGAAAATTCCATTAGGAATTTTTGTAAGTTTTTGTTCTGCAATTAATAAAAAAAATTTTTATTAATTTTTTTTTTCAATTCGCATTGCTCGAACGTTTTCAAGTAAAATTATACTTAACTAGAATCAATATTATAATATAATCATTCACCATTATAATTTTTCAACTCCATTAATCTCATATAAAAATTATATAATATTTCTAATTTTCATTGCCATTTTCAATATTGCTAAATATTTAATCATATAAAAATACTAGAAATTGTTTGGAAACTGCCTTTGATTGATCTTTTCAATTAAGTAAACGTTTTGAACTTCTTTCGTTTTATATATTCAAAATTTGTATTAAATTGAAATTAATAACAATTAAGTAAAGTTACAGCGTTTCAAAACTATTTGAACATGTTAAAGCCATTTACATACGAAAAAATGCAATTGGTTGCGATTAATGACTTTTTTTTATTATAGTAGATAAATCTAATTTTGTTACTATAAAATTATTGATAACATTAATGTTATGTTCTAGATCTAATCATATCCTCTTTGCGTCTGCTTGTGTTTCAAAAACTTTTACAACTAAAATCGTAAAAAGGTTTTTTTTTTCGAAAATTTTTTGAGCATTTTATAATTGAAAAATAATTCTTCAACAATTATTCGATTTAATAATGAAGTGATGGAAACTTGATGTATGTATGTAAATCTAATGCCAATGAATATCATTTCGTTCTTTTGTGGATATACTTTTGATTTGAAAGAGAAATGTTTTTCAAATTAAAACTTTTTCAAATTAAATGCATCTGTTTCCTAATTAAAGTGAGAAATTTCCAATTTAATTAACCCATAAATTCACAATTAATTTTACATAAATTCACATAAATTTTATAATTTAAAACGACAAGTAAATCCTTACGTAGCCTAATCATTTTTAAAAAATAATAATAATTTAACAGTCTCATCGCTTATCTCGCTTTTTTGTTCACTTTCAAATCAGAATTTTCAATATTTTCTAACACTTTTCCAATAAGATTACCTTTTTTTTCAATTGGATTTTTGCTTTTTTTCCCAAATTATCTGAACGTTGCGCTTTCAAAAACAAAATAAATAAATTTTGTATGCATTTTAGAAAAAAACGAGATACGCAATACCAAATAATTCTTCTCATTCGTAAATTACTTTATACAAATTTATGATAATTACTCATTTTCTTCTCTTTTTCCGAGTAAAATAGCGAAATACACGATCAGGCCCTAAAACTCTTATAAGATTTGTCATTAATTGATCTTATTGATTTCAAAACTGAATTTAATTTATGCTTCAAATTGAAACTAAAATAAAATTCAATACTTACAAGTTGGAAATTCATAAATTCCAATTACCATTATTGGTAATACCAAAATAATATTAAGAGATAATTTGAAAATAGTTTGAATATTCATTATGTTTCAAATTTAACTTTTAATTTAAGTGAAATAATTTTTTTTAAAAAATTTATAATTTCTTTTTATTTATTCATAAATAATATTGAAGTTCTTTGTTTTGTAAATATTTTTAATTTAATTTCCTTATTCGAATTTATATGTCAACATTTAGATAAGAAATTTACATGATAACACATAAACACTTTAATTCAATTTTAAATTTATTTAATTTTTTAAATTTGCAAAAAATTTATTTTTATTAATCACTTCTATTCTGCTTCTTGTAAATTCTATGTTTAATTCACAACTTTATTATCACAATATGTGTGTGTAAGTATAAAAATGTAAATTATTTTTTTTTTCTCAAGTTTTTTTCCCGTTCCGAGATGCAATCCCAGATCGAATTAAAGAATGAAAACTGAATAAAATATAATTTTAAAGAAAAGTAAATATATTTACAAAAAACCAGAACAAAAAGGAGAAAAAGAGAATATTACAAGTATAAATAAAAAAACATCCCCATATATGTATGACCACTTGAAATCGTACAATATGTTATTCTCAACTCAAGTGTGTTGGCTATTATTAATTAGCGCGAGAAAATAAACACTAAATAAAACAGTTTAAAAAATTAAACTCTCCACACAACAATTGCATGGTATGTTTATACATTTAAACAGTACACTACAAACCAATGGTGAAGCACATATATGTGCTAAGTAACAAATTTTTCAAAATCCATTTTTTTTACACTAATATTAATTTCGAACGATGCTCGTTTTGTGGTATAGATTTCGATACCGTACGTATATTTGTTTGTGAGATCGATTTAGTTGATATATGTAGATGAACTGCAAGGTTTAAGTAGCAAAAAAAAGCTGAGTGCTTTCTTATAATATTTATATTACAAAAGCTGATATATTGATGAAATACGAATATGCTAAGTGCATCAGTTGGTATTAGCAATTTTTACACGATAAGCCATGTTATGGTAAGTACACAAACTCAAAGTTAAAAACTAATTTTAGTAGTTTTAATAAAAACAAAAATTAAATTTATAATGTTATTCTAATTAACTGGTAAATTTTCAAGCTTTCAAAACGCTTCTCTGTAAAATTTTGAATTTTCTACTTAGGGCTTTATTGTATTTCATCATTATTTTGATATATATTTTTATAAAATGCACATATGTATGTATATAAGAACAAATATATTGTTAATTATAACTTGCTACATAAGTTCTTTACTGTAAAATGTTTACTCATTTCTTACAAATTTGTAATTGAGAACTTTTTTATCAGTAAAACGCTGAGATTAAATGGTTGTATATTTACTCACTCAAGATTCTATTTAAGTATGAATGAAAATGATAACGTTATAACGTATATTACAAAATTTTTTACAGAATTCGTTTGTCCGTATGTATATTTAAAATTTTCAATCTTTAAAATACATATTTCTAATTATATTTGATTGGTTTTGCATTTCAATTCATAAATTATGGAAATTTTTTTTGTTTTATAAATTATGGAATAAAGGTTTTGTTTTATAAATTTAATTTTCAGTAGCCATGGCTTGTTTTAAGTTATTTATGAAAATTGATTCTTATACTTGAAATTTGCTTAATGCTGAACTCACGATATGCGATTCGAATCGAAACTATGTCTCAAAAATTTCAGATCGTTCAAAGTAATTAAATATTTATAAATAATTGCAAATTCATCTATTGTGATCATTGTTATTTTTTTAATATCACATACAACTTCATTTAACCATAATTTAAAAGGAACACCTAAGAAAATTTTGTGTTTTGTATATGTATTAAATATTTCAATGAAAAAAATATATTAGAACTTGTGAATTCCTATCTGTTTAAACACTAGACGCAAATTTTATAAGAGTACTCTTTAGCATATTACGTAAATATTTTATTTTTACTAAAGAAAATGTGAACAAGGCAAAAAAAGTATCACATTACATTACTTTTATTAGTTATAAATTTTATGATAATTATAATTGTTTTTATTTTAATATTATATATATATATATATATATATATATATATATACAGTAAATATTTATTAACTTTCATTTTATAAGTACATGCATTATATTATACGATATTTGTATTTATATCTTGACTATAATAATCAATTGTGTTTTCAATATTTCGTAAAACAAATATAATTTATTACGTTATATTATTAATATAAAAATGCAAAAAAAATGATGGGCATAATATTTGTATAGAATAGATAACTGCGTTAACTATGATTGCTAATATAATTATCGTTATGTAAATTAATTTTAAAATTAAGAAAAACATAATATTCTAAAATAAAAATTGATTCAGTTATCTTCAATGTGTTTCAATATTTTTCAACAATATAGAAAAATTAAATTTTTAATTTATGCACATCTAAGATGTATCTCTATACATAAAAATTAGTTAAACAAATAAAATGTATATTTTAAAAACTTAACACCAAATTTGAAAGAGTTTAAACCAAATCAATTTCATAAAAAAAAAATCATAAACGTTGTTCTTAGCCCGGTGTTACTTTATTTTTAAATTATAAACAAAAAAGTTCAAATTTTACATTTCTTTAATTCGAAATATTAGAAATATTGGAAAATGTAAATTCGAGAATTTTATTCATCTTATTAATTCTCTATTATTTTGAAATGTGAAATTCTCGAATTTACATTTTCTGGGTATGTAAACGAAAATCAAGCTACATAAGGCATGCGAACGTTACATAAGGCATTCAGTAACATGGGGCTGGGAACAAAATCAAGAGCAAATCAATGTAAAATGAAAGAAAAGTGTAAATTACAAAGTTACAAAAATTAGGCAAAATCACAAAGAATTTGAATTTTAAATGACAAAGATTGTATCTACATATGTACGCATGTAAGCATTATGTATACGTATAAGTATGTTGTATAAAGTTGATTTTAATTAAATAAAATATGTGTCTTTGAAATTATGAAAGAAAACAAATGCAATAACCGTAAATACTGAACAACTTGGTCTTTTCACATCTTAATTTATTGGAAAAAGTTTTAGAACTAATATTAATATGAAAATACAACTAATAAATATTTACATAGATATACATTAGTTCTTTTAAAAATTTAAAAAAAAAATCAAATCTCCAAATTTACTTCGGTATGTATGTACATACTTTTAGTGTCGCTGCACAATCACCAAGGAAAGCGGCAAATTTTTACTTCAAAACACCGCTTGCTTAAAATGGAAAAATTGAATTTAAAAGAGTACTGGTTGAAATGCACGGCAATTTCCATATAAAAAATGCAGGAGGCTCCATATAAAATGTATGTATCAATATAAAAATATAAATATGAAAAGCCACTTATCGCGAGCCGCTTTTATTGAGATGTAGCACTTAAATTTAAAAATTCCCATTAAGAATTTAGGAATAGATAAATTTTCAAATAGCATAAACTTGCTAAGTTTATAAATAGAACAGTTTTATTGATATGAAAAAGAATGCCTCTTTAACAAAAAATAACACTGCTATGAATAAAATTGACGGCGGAATAGCTGCGTTTCACACAATGTGAAGAAAACTGGTCAACATTCATAATAAAAAAAACAGAACGAAAAGCCTGCAAAAATATTAGGAGCGTAGAGTTTTTTCCGTTTCCGTATTCACATTTTCGCATACCAATGTAAATACCCCAACACTATAACAATATCGTTTATAATAATAACAATTGTTAAGGCCAATCATGAATTTGTTTTGGTAGTAATTGAAAAATTTCATTTTTAAATTAGGAATAAAATTTATACAGATTGAATTTTCTATTAAAAAAGGAAAATTTCGCAATTTTCTGCATTATCTAAATTTTAATTTTTATATTGAAATTTGTTTTTTTTATCATAATTTGTTATTGAAATATGCTTTTCGATTAAATACAAATAGATTAGCGTAATTAGAACTGTTGTTAGTGCTATTCCAATAAAGTTTTTACAACAGTTTGAAAATCGTTGATTGAAAGGATAAAGCTGGAATGATAATATTTTGTCAATTTGTGGCAACATTACACATCGATTCATAACAAAAAATTAATCGATATTTTATACACATTAAAGAAATGTCAAAATATTTTGAGTCTTAGCAATAGCATCGTAAATGACAGCAAATTGACATACCTTGTGCACATATAACTTTTTTTGCATTGTATTTAAACAAAACTTTAATTTAGTTCTCAGTGATTTGAGTAATTTTTTAAATTATCAAAAGTTAAAAAATTTTAAAAATATGCCTTCATTGGAAATAGAAGAAGAAATTTTAGAGGATACAGATGATAGTACAAAATCAATGTCAGGTCCTGTGGTTGGGATTATATATCCACCACCGGAGGTTAGAAGTATCCTTTTACAAAAATATTGCGAGGAATACATGCATGCATATTTTAATTTTTATTTTCGAAGCAAATATTTTATTTTCAGTTTTTTTTCAATGTTGATAATAATTTCTTTTTGGAGAGATTTCCTTTAACTCTTTCATAATATAGATATCGTTGACAAAACTGCAAGTTTTGTTGCTAGAAATGGACCAGAATTTGAAGCCCGTATCCGTCAAAATGAACTAGGGAATCCAAAATTTAATTTCCTTAATTCTGGTGATCCTTATCATGCATACTATCGTCATAAGGTTACTGAATTCAGAGAAGGAAAAAGTATATATACAATTTTGATTCTTGTGAACATTATTAATTTCTTTTTTTTGTTTGAGCAGTAGAGTCGCAAAGTTTAATACCCGGTTTAAAGCAATTGGCAGTATCATCTTCTGCACAGCAAAAACAACAAGAATTTTTGAAGCAAGTGGCAGAACAACAATTTGTACCAAGGGAACCTCCACCAGAATTCGAATTTGTTGCAGATCCTCCCTCAATTTCAGCTTTAGATTTGTAAGTTGGAAACTTGTTTTTTTTTTTTAAATTTAAGCTATTGAATTTTTAGGGATATTGTAAAATTAACAGCTCAATTTGTTGCGAGAAATGGTCGACAGTTTCTTACAAATCTTATGAATAGAGAACAACGCAATTATCAATTTGATTTTTTGCGACCTCAACATTCTCTTTTTCAATACTTTACTAGACTCTTAGAACAATATACAAAAATTTTGATTCCACCAAAAGATTTAATGCAAAAATTAAAGTCTGAAAGCCAAAATAATCGTGTAAGCATAAATTTAATTCTTGATCAAGTTAAATATCGCGCAAATTGGCAGCGACACCAGGAAGCTCAGAAGCGTCGTGAAGAGGAAACAATTGAAAAAGAAAGAGTAGCATATGCTCAGATCGATTGGCATAATTTTGTAGTTGTGGAGACAGTTGATTATCAGCCTTTTGAAACAGGTAATTTCCCTCCGCCTACAACACCAGAAGAAGTTGGTGCTAGAGTGTTAATGGAAGAACGAATGATGGAAGAGGACGGGGATATTGAAATGCAAATTGAATCCGATGAAGAAGAAGTTAGTTTGCCAAGTGGTAATATAAAACTTTCGCAAATGGAAAATAGACTCGGACAACCAAATCAACCGAGTGTAAATCAAATGCAAGTTAATGATAAACGACCCAACAAAATTGCTCCTTCTTCAGTTATTCATAACAAACGTGATAATATTCAAGTTCAAGATATGGATGAAGCATCGAGTGACGAAGAATCAGAAAATTTGGCAGAAAAACAACCATCCGTAACACCGGCACCTATGCTTCCTCCAACACACGATAAAGTAATTGTCAAAAAATACGATCCAAAACAAACTCAAAAAACTGTTAAGCCGGTTTCTACAGATGAATATTTAATTTCACCAATAACTGGTGAAAAAATACCTGCATCCAAAGTTGCTGAGCACATGCGAATTGGGCTTTTAGATCCAAGATGGGTTGAACAAAGAGATAAACATACCGTGGACAAAATCAATCAAGATAACGTTTTTGCAGCTGGTACCGCCATTGAAGCCAGTTTAAAACAATTGGCAGAAAGACGTACAGATATTTTTGGTGTCGGTGATGAAGAAACTGTAATCGGTAAAAAATTGGGCGAAGAGGAAACTAAAAAAGACGATCGAGTAACTTGGGATGGTCACACATCGAGTGTTGAAGCAGCTACAAGAGCTGCACGAGCAAATATCACGCTTGAAGATCAAATTCACCAAATACACAAAGTAAAAAAAATTTTATTGAACATTTCCTAAGAATTTTGTTACATAACTTTTTTTTTATATCATTTTTGTTATTTCATTCTGTTTGAATAGGTAAAAGGTTTGATACCTGATGAAGAAAAGGAAAAAATTGGTCCTAAACCTGCAACTACAACGAGCAAGCCACAGCAAAATATTCCACAACCTGTTGTTACCCAGAGTATGGCTCAACGACCATCAATTAACCAACAAATGCCACAACCCCCTCAACATCAAAATCAACAACCAAACATGTCTGGAGTTCGACCTCCTGTTCCAATGATGATGATGCCTATGAGAACTCCTATGATTCGTAAAATTTATTTCTAAATAAAAGAGAAAATTAAAGTCAAAATTTATTTTTTATTTAGCACCACCTTTTCCGGTTGGTTATTTGCCACCAATGCAACCCGGGGGACCCCCAATGCAGCCAGCGCCACAAGTAATTGACCAACAAATGATGATGCAGCAGCAAATGCCAATGATGGAGGATGAACCACCAAATAAAAAAATGAGATCGGAAGACAACTTAATTCCTGAACAACAATTTATTTCAATGCACAAAAGTCCAATCACAATTCAAGTTCAAGTTCCGCATGCTGATAAATCTGAATGGAAGCTTAATGGACAAACTATCGCCCTAAGTCTAAATTTAACAGATACAATTTCAACATTAAAATCCCGAATACAAGATGAAACTGGAATGCCACCAGCTAAGCAAAAAATTTCATATGAGGTGCTTCATATTTTATTTACTGAATTTTTAATATACAATTGCTACTGATACTAATTAATTTATAACTTTTAGGGAATGTTCTTCAAAGATAACAATACAACTGCATTTTACAATCTCTTAAACGGTGTCACTGTACATTTGCAAGTGAAAGAAAGAGGTGGCAGAAAAAAATAAATTAAACAACATATTTTTACTGTGTTTAAAAAAACCGTATTTTTATTGTATAAGATAATTTTTGATTTATATTCAAGTCTTAAATTACATTCGAGATATTAAAAAATGTGCAACTTCTTTTACTTATTGTTGCTCTTTGATATTAAAAACTTTAAAACAATTAACATAGATTGAAAATCACATTAGATTAAATAACTTAACCTCTAAATTTTGTGTGCATTATGAATATGTACTTTGAATGACCTTAAATAATATTAAAATTTTTCTATTTACAACAAATATTCCAATTATTAACTAAATATAGCCTTGATGGGTTAAGTGTTAGCTTTTACTGGTGATGAAAAATCATTTGATCGACAATTTCTGCTAAAACAGTGGTTTTAGAGTAGCATTAAAAATATTGTTTTCTAAAAAATATTTGTCATAGATTAAACATTTTTGAACTTTTTATGAAACCAATTTGAATCTTTCTTATTTGGTTCAAGATAATTTTATATCAACCTCATATTCTTCAAAATGCATCATTTAAGTTGATAGGATATTAAAAAAATTTACAGTTTTCAAAACAAAATAAATTTTGAGATTCCATTTTGTAAACCTCAATACTTTTGGATAGCATCTCATCATTTAGAGAATATGATAATTATTTGAAGCTACATACATGTTTCAAAGATAAAGGAATGATCAAAGAAAATTTAATAAATACATGCGTTTCAATTAGAAAACAAAAAATATTTTGCACTTATGTCATAAGTTATTTAATTCGTATGTCACAATGAATCGGTCCTTTTACTTTTTAATACATTTACCATTTCTCGGTATCTACTTAACATAGGATTATAAATCTGTGAACTATTTTCGCCTGGTGTACAAACACGATGTGATGGGTTAGAAAAATGTTGTAGTATGTACTTTTGGTATGAAATTATTTCGCCATTTTCCATGTCACTCTTATCTCCATTTTGAACAGCATTTTGTTTTGAGCTACCATTCATGAAAGATGTACCACAGCCATTTAAAATATAACCATTTGACTTTGCCTTTAAATTATTCAAATACAAACAGTATTTGGCTCTATAGGCTGCTCCAAGAAGAGCGGCTTCACTAGTTTTTTTTGTGTAAACAGGAGCATTAAATACGTCTGACATAACTTGAAGAATTGATTTGTTGACTGAAGCTCCACCAGTAGCTAAAATTTTAGTATCTTCACCTAAAAAATGATAATAAGTTTTATTACATCAAACGTTAACAACTATGTTTTACCAAAATGGAATCCCATGTCTTGTGCAACCGATTTTCGGTGAAGCATTTGACCTTCAATCAGAGCACGAACTTCAGTTTGTGCCGAATTGAAATTTTTTAGTCCCACTTTTCCTTCTGTAGACTCACTGTTATGATTTTCATTCCATTTTAGAGTTCCAATAACTTTTGGAATTATTTCAAGTGTCTGAAAATGTAGAGCCATGTTTCCTCTATTTCCTCGTTGAGAATTATTAAGTAATTCACTAAAATTGTCCCAGTTATTATTAGCCTCTACACGTTTGATAATATCACGAACGAGAGATCCATTTCTAAAACTTTAAAAAAGACAAAATTCAGATTATAACAATGAATAATTCGAAATAAAAATCTTTTACCATAAAAGCCCCATAAATGCATTATCATCTGTTGGATGGCAAAGTACGTGCCCTTGCTTTAAATGTGGATTTTGTGATAGTGTCATCATAACTGTATCGCTTGTGCCTAAAGAAATTGCTAGCCAGTTTTCACTAACTAACATTCCAGTAAACGCTGAAGGATTGTCTCCAGTAAAAGCCGATATTTTGCAATTTGTTTTAAAACCGTAACGTTGAACAAAAAATGGGCATATATTACCAATAACGGAGCACGTACTAACTGGTTGATGCAACAAACGTTTTTCTAAATCAGGAGCACACGCTTTTAAACATATATCTGACCAATTTTTCTTTTGAATATCGAATAGATTCATTCCGGAAGCATCAGCGTAGTCAATAGGTGCAATGTCACCAATAAATATTGATGCTAAGAAACTACTCACTAGAGAAATAGCAAAAGTATGCTCATACACCTTCGGTGCAGTTTGAAAAATTTTCCTTATTTGAGGACCAGTAAAACGTTGATAACATTTTGATCCAGTAATTGCAACCATATTTGCAGTACCTCCAACTGCTTTTTCCATTTCTGCACATTGTTTCTCTGTTGAACCATCCATCCAGATTGGGGTTTTATTCAATGTAAATGCTTTTTCGCTCAATTGAAAATGTAAAAATTTGTCAGCATCAAGTGATTTTAATGATTTTATACCATCTTCTGACCAATAAACAGAACCGTGTTGCTACAAATAAATAAATATTTTCATATGTTAATAAAATAGATAAATTCATTTTTAATTAAAATTAATTACTTGAGCAGAGCCTCCAATAGCTGAGACTGTACTCAAATTAGCTCCTTGTACAACCAATCTATCCAAAACCATATCAAGCGCTTTAACCCACATAACAGGCTGAACAAAATACCTTTAAAACATGTTTTAATAAAATTGCTTTGTATTTTATTACAATTTTTAATTTACTCATTTTCGTTGGATCCAGTATTGACACCGCCCGCTGTTTGAAATTCTGGTAAATCTATATCAAATTTTAATTCTGCATGTACCAGTACTTCCAAATTTGAATTCAACAAAACAGCTTTCAACTAAAAAACAAAAAAAAATTAAAATTAAGATATTTTCAAAACTAGAAGTTTATTACACAAAAATTTAATTTAATTGCGCAATTTGCCCAAGTGTAATAAACAGAAATTACTTTTTAAACTAAAATCTTAACAAATTGTTATAATAAATAATTATCTATCTAACGCATATTAAAAATTTTTCATTTTTAAAGGAAACTTTAAACCTATATTAAATTCGCATTAAATAGAATTATGTAATTTTATGGAATAATATAAAAAATTATTAGAAAAGTGGATTACATATTTGCTTACGTCTTAAGTTATTTTATACAATCATTTCTATTATATCAATGTTTATACATATTTATTTTGATTATTTGCCGACCCAATGTACTTTAAAATTAAACAAACAAAACGATGAAAGCAGAGCTTTTAAGAAAGAAATTAAAATCTCTAAAAAAAAAGACGAGCTCACGCGATGTGATAACTTTACGTTACATAAAAAACAAGGGTCAATAAGGTTTTTTTTATTTAATGATTATCTATCGTATCTGATTAAACAAAATCAAATTGTAATTTGAAAATTTTAAATGTGTAGTGTAGGAAGATATGCTATATTTTAGTAGTGTTCTAGGAAGATGTTTAAATAAACATAAAGCGTACTAAAGGATTAAAGTTCTTGTAAACAATTTTTAAAAAATAAATTGTGTAGAAATTCTAGAAAAATTTTATGAATAATTATGACTTTTTTGGAATATTCGTTAGTAATCTAGCTATAAATTTTTTGGAGATGTTCCAAATTTTCTCTATCTTGTCTAAAATGATTTTGGGAAAGTGTAAAAACAAACATATTCGCATATACAGGAAAATCCCTTTTTACAGTTTTCGAAACCACCTCTTTCCGATTAAATTGATGAACAAACTTTTAATTTCTAAAATTAGGAACTGATTCAAATTTTTTTCAAAATGATACTAAGCTATAGGAAAATGATGCAATGATGTTATTTGCACGCTTTCATTATTTCCGTTTTTAATTAAGTATTTCATAGCTAGATACATAGATATTAGATATGTATACCTGTTTAGTAAAATATTTTTTTTTACGTATCTAGGTACGTAAAATATCTACGTCTTGCGTGTATTGACCTTATTATGTACATATATTCCAAAAATATACCCATGTACCTAAATACAAACATGCATATACTAATATTTTTCTATGTATTTATCTATTTATTAATAAGTTATAATATGACCCTCTTTCAATATCATAAAATGTTGAAATCTTTGAACACGCTTTAACTTCTAATAATAATACACAACAGAAAAAATTTGTAATACAGCTAAAATTAGACCTTGACCGTCTAAAAAATTTAATTTGCTTAAAAGTTCAATATTTTATTTGAGCCAGTTTTTAATTATATCTTAATTTACAATTGTAGATTTTAAGTTAATTACAACTTGTACTTACTTTCTGAGTGGATAAATCGAATCCCAAATATGTATCACTTGGACTTGGCGTCATGTTGGCTGTGTTTTGTTTTATAAAAATTATTACGTTGTACTGTTTTAACTATTTTATATAAACTATAAGAATATTTTTTAAATTTCTATTTAAGTTTGATACTAGCTTGAACTAAGCTTGAAAATTAACTAAATATTTTTTTCTTTAACAAATCCATTTTATTTGATTGATGATAGAAAGGAGCTTGACGCTGTTTATCAGAAGAGGAACTTTTAAAAATAATATTAAAAAAAAATCACTTCATAATCAGAAATTAAATACAACAGCTGATTTTGAACAACTTCGGATCGCTAAAATTTTTTCATGTTTTTGTTTTTGCTTTCTTACCTTTTCATACAAAAAAAAATCTCAAGGTCAATCATTTTTATAGTAGCAGAATTTGACATATGAAAGTGAAATTTTGGCGACATCTATGATCAAATATTAAAAACTGAAAAAAATTAGCATTAAAGTTATTACAGCATAATTAGAGTGTTACCGATATATACAAAAATAATTCCATGTTCTAGATTTATAGAAATATTTTTGTTTATATTATTTAACCGATTGATTTCACTTAAATGAAATATCCGTCTTGAAAGCAAATACATACATACTTAAATATAACAGAATAAGAAAAAAATCTTAAATTAACCAATGTTGCAGATTTTAAAGAATTAAATTAATTTAACTGGAAAGTGGAAAGAGTTAAGTAAACTTTTTGGAAATTATAAAGGTAATAAGCATATCGATTATTTTTTTATTGTCTCTAATTAAAAAAGACAAATATATTAAAGAAAACCTGTAAAAAGCAAAAAAAAATATGAAAATGTTAAAGCTGAAAAATTTAGAAAAACCTGTTTCGGGAATAGCTTTTGTCTTTGCAAGATAACTTTAATTGGGTTCTGATATTTCTATTTTCACGATAATTTTACGTTATTTTAATAATATATATATTTATTATTGCGAAAATGAACGGGTTCACTATCGTTAAATTTAGATTTTTTTTGAGTATTAAAAGAGCAGAACTTAAGTTACTTCTATTATATTTACAATTATATTTTACATAATGTTCAATATTACCATAATTTACATTTTTTAATTGGATTCATAGTTGTGTTCAGTGGACATTCATATGCATTTGAAAATTCTTCAAAGTTTTGAAGTGTTCCAATTATTCTAAATTTTCCAGGGGGATGAGTGTCTGTTTCTAAACGATTTTCAATTGCTTCTGGCCTTATGTGTTCACACCATGATTGAGCAAATGCAACAAAGAATAATTGTAGTGGCGATAAATCTAAATTAGGAACAGCTTCCGCTTTAATTTCTTCTTCTGTTGCTGTTTTTAACCATTCTTTATAAACTTTGAAAGATAAACGAATACCTCCATTATCCGCTATATTTTCCTCTTTTGTTATTTCTCCATTCAATGTTTTGTTATAAATTTTAAATTGACTATATTGATCAATGAAACATTGAGCGCGATCCTTGAATTGTTCATAAGATTTATTTGTCCACCAATCATTCATGTTACCATCTTGATCGAATCCGCGACCAACAGTATCAAATCCATGGGTTAATTCATGTCCAATGAAAACACCTATAGCACCATAATTTAAACTTTTTGGAAAATCACCATGATAAACTGGTGGTTGAAGAATTGCTGCAGGCATTATAATTCTATTTTTAGCTTGTTCAAAAAATGCATTGATTATAGTTGGTCTGATAGGCCATTCGTTTTTATCGACTTTTTTTTCCAATTTATTTCGTTCTTTAATATTTTCATATTTTCTTAAATTTAAAACATTCTCAAAATATTTATCTTTCGCAAAATTTATGCCATTATAATAGTCATTTAATTCAGTTTTATTTAAAATGAACTCTGGATAACCAACAGCTAATAAAGTTTTATTGACTTTTTCCTCTGCTAACAGTTTTGTTTCGTCATCAATCCAATCCGATAAATTTAAATTTGAACGAAACACTTTTGAAATTTCTTCAGTCATTTTAGAAACATCATCCTTACAATTTTCATTAAAATATTTTTTTACATATAAAGAACTAACAGCCATACCGATAGCTTCGTTAACTTCACCAGCACACAAATATGTTCTTTCTTTAGTGGTTTTCTCAGAACCCATTAATATTTTTGTAAATTTCACTTTCGGAGCCTTAAATCTTTCATCTAAAATTGGAGAAATAAAAGTAAAAAAGAAAATATTGAATATGACTAAAATAAGAATTATAATTAACAATTAATTATTAATATGAAATCAGATACAAAAACTTGCATAGTTTAAAAATAAATAAATACAACATTTTATAATTAGTGCGGGACCAGCAATTTTTTTTATAGTACAATTCACAATAGAGCTTAATTTTAAGATTAGATTTATAAGACATTTATATGACTTATTGGTAAATTGTAATGGTGTACTTTCAGATTGTTATATTTCTGAAAGTTACGAGTATATGTTGTGAAAGAATCTTGTTAGGTTTTATAAAAATTTCATTGAATAAAGATATCCTAAAATCTAAATATTTACATACATACTATGTACATATGTATGTGATTACTTACATGTAATCGTTTTTGACTTGTTTATTCCAATTGCAATATATTTTAATAAAGATTCTTGATACGCAAAATGGTGTGCACTATGCCTTGACGAGGAAACGTTTAACAAAAAGATGTTTTATTAACAGGTAATGAATTATTAAAGTGCAAATTTGAGTAATTATTTGTTCATGAACTTTTTCCATAGAAATTACCTATCGAAATATTATGTATTAAAAAACATTGTTTTTGGGAAGAAGTATAGCAGAAATTTGTTATAGCGTACACTCAAATCAGCAAAAATGAACGTCATTACCGATTTTTATTATAACCGGTATACGAATTAAAAATGTTGCTATTTACTTTTCAATTTCTATCATTGTTTTATTTACTCTTCAATTCAAATCCAAAATGAAAATTAAATTAAAATGGCACTTAATTCTTTGATAAAAAAAAATTTTGTCATAGACTACCTACCTACATAATAAAATAAATGTCACTCAAGCCGAGGTATTCGTTATAATCAATTTTATTTCCATATAAACGGAATTGTCGCTGAAGTAAGAACATTCGCTATAAGCAGTTTTTCGTTAAAACCGATTTCGTTATAAAGAATTTTTTTTCCATACATATGTTTATGAACAAAACTTTGTTACCGTTTTTGTGCGCTAACCGATTTTTACTGTATTATATTCTACTGATAAATATTTTAGAATAAAACGCATAATATAATGTATGAGTATTGAAAAGATATATTTTTTAGTTTTGTATGAAAATTTTTGAAATGCCCTGTAAATCATGTGTGTTCACATATTGCAGTATATAAGTATATACAACATATTACTTCCCAGTAATGTTATGAACTTTTTATATTTAATCAATATAATTCCAAAGATAGATTAAAAACTTTATGGAAGAATGCAATTCGTAGTACGATAACATAATCATTCTTAAATATTATAAATACATACATATAATTCGTTATGGGTATATTTACTAAAATTAACGTTTCACATTTTTGGAATAATGCATTAACAAAAACTTTAAAACTATAAATATATACAATATATTTATAAATTCACACTCATTTGTATAACCACATAATTCTCTTTAAAGTAATTTAATATCATTAATTACGTAAATTAATCTAAAATTTCACAAAATTTTTTGTGCAAAAATTTTATCGAAATTTGTGTTATTCTTATAATCACATGTATATATTATGAATGTGTGTGTTTATGCTTGTGCATTTGAAAGATACTGACTTTTGAATATTTTATTGTCTCAATAGATAAAAAGTATATAGCAAAGCAAAATAAAAAAAAGTGTTATGGTGTTAATATTATATTTTAAAATTAAGTACCGGAAGTACGTTAATTAACACCTTGAATTTTAGACTCGGTTTAATAAAGTTGTGCTATTATTACTAATGCGATTTAAAAAAGAAAAACAATTAAAATAAAGCACGTGCTTTTCAGTTCACAAACATGAACACATAAATACGAAAATAAAAGTTAAAAGGGAATTACAAAAACATAAACAATTCGGTTTATTAATCATCTAGTCATAAACAATGATGGTACCATAAAATACGAAAATTGTAGCATTTATTCTGTTTTTTTTTCTCATGTGTTGTTGTTGTTGTTGTATATAGATTACAAATTATTGTTATCCTAAATTATGATGAAAGTAATAAAAAAATTTTACAAATTTTAATGAAGCAAAAATTTAAAAGAACAACAAGACATTAGCAAATCATTATTGATAGACATGTAATATCAATACTGTAATTACATCAATAATTCAATTTTGAAAATTTCAAATTGTTTCAGCTGAGTGTTCCCACGGACAAAACTGTAATTTGGAATTACAATATTAGGCTATGATATACATATACTATATAGTATAGATATTGAGTTTTTAACATTATAATATAGTTGACAAACATCTTATGTTAAGCTAATATAGGGAATATCATAATATCGATGTCAATTATCGCTTGTCAGTGCTATCATGTTTGGCGATAGAATATTCAATTTGAGCAGCTGAAAAACAAACAATGTGAGCACAATAACTGAAAAAAATTATTGTTCTTGCTACATAACAAAATTTAATAAGTTGTAACACTATGTTTTGAAAGTATGTGTGTATGTATAATTAATAATTTAATTGCTTCAATATTTGAGAAATAATCCCGTGCAACATTTTGAGGTTTACGATGGTAAATTAAGGTTTTTTTTTTTAAATCTATTGCTAAATTTACTGGATTTTCAGATTTATTTAAATAATTAGGTAATTTTATAGAAAAAATATGTCAGTAAATTTTTCTAATAAAAAATTTATTAAAATAGTAACAGTACAACTTAAATAATGTTTGTTAGATTTAAAATGTTAAAGTTAAACAGTAAATATATTTTGCTCCTCCAAAAGAAGATGTGAGTGAATAAAAGTGTCAACTACAATTTTTTATTCTAAATGAGTTATATTGTATAAAAATCATATAGGTTGCAAAATTAAGGTCTCTATCTTTCAAATACAAAAATCCATTTTTCAAAAACCATTTCTTTTAAAAGATAGTTTGTCTCTAAAAGCTGCGGCACGCTTTTGAATTATGTTGTTACGAAAGTTGGAAAATGTTAGTTTTTAATATCATTCTGGAAAATTTAATATGCCTTCAAAACCTTTATATTATTTAGGAAAGTGTGATGTGCAGAAAAAATTTCTTGGGCGTTCAAATGAAGGTACTCTACATATGTATATAGCCAAAATTACCCCTATATAATTCTTTCTATAGTTTATAATTTCTTTCTATAGGGCAAAATTACGTCTATATAAATTTTTTTTATAGTCTATAATACCACAAACATTTTATTCATATTTTCCAAAAAATTGCTTTTTACCTCATTTTTTCCACAATGAAAAAAATGTTATTTGCAATATCTGGGAAGAAAAATCATAGAAGTCAGAGAAAAATTTTATATCTAAACGAATTTTCAAATCTTTAAAGCTAATTTATTCGAACCTTAAAAACTTGCAGGTAATACCTTTATAGATTCGTTTAGTATAATATGGATGTACACTTATCATTGAATAAAAACAATCTCATATTGTATATAGGAGAAAATGAGCATGAAATTTTCAAATATCTCCTTCTGAATTTGTAAAGCTCCATTTAGATTTTGTTTTAAACTTTACTTTATATGAGAAAATTAAAAATTGTATATGACTATTCAGACTATTTTAAATGTTTAAAAAAAACTCTAAAAACAAGTAGAAGCTAATGTGTGATTTTGTTGATTTTGTATCCTATCTCTGTATTTTAATTGTTTCACATTTGAATAATATTATATAATATATCACATTACTTCTATTCAAATAATTTTTACAAAACTTTTTAATACGCTACACTCGGTTTTTCTCACCACAAAACAGTTTAAAATTGTTAATTGGGATATTTATATAAACAAATACTTGCCCGTTATTCCAACAAAAACACTAACTGCAAAAAATTTATGGGCATTTTTGTATTTCTAAAATTCAATTATTATTTTATCACTTTATAATTATTTACGTAAATTAAAACATAAACATTAAGTAAAATATAAATAATAATATTATTAGGATTACTGAAAATAAAATTTAATTAAATCTTACCAAGATATTTTAACATTTGCTGAATTGTACGCCAATTGATATAATTTGCTATGATTCTCTTATCTGTATTAATTAAGAGGTCAAATATTTCATCTGTTTTTGGAGCTCCAAATATAACTATTTTATAATCATCATTGAATTCTTTATTAAATATTTTTATTAAATATTCTGTCCAATTAAATTTTGAATATTTTTCTTTTAAAATACCAACTGTTGTTGGATTATATAACTGTTGTACTTCATAATTATTTGTTCTTACATCTGTTAATTTTGCTAATTTCATTTCTAAATCTATTATTTCATCAATAACATTTTGTGTTTCATTTTCTGGTGTATTTAAAATTTCAAATACGTCTTTAATAAATTCACGATAACCTTCTAAATGTGCTTTATTATAACTTTCTAAATAATCGGCATGACTACGTAAACCTAATTCTGGATGTAACATATAAATAACAGATTTTTCAATATTTTTAAGATCATATTCAATTTCTGTTGAAAAGAAACTATGCATTTGATGAATTGATTGCCAAGCTAATACTTCTTCTAAATTAAAATTTTCTTCAGACCATTCATCACCATCCAATAATGGAAAACCACCAATTTCTTTAATTACCTCAAGCATTGGTTCAAATTTTCTTTCATTTATTAAATCAATATTTGAACATGAGGCAAAAAATAAATTCACTTGTTGTTCCATATCGAAATTTTTTGTATCATTTTCCATAATCTCGTCTGTGCTGCTATTTTGATTATTAATTATAGAATTCATAGTTTTATTCTGATTATAAGTTAAAATTTCATGTAATGATTTTTGTAATTCCTCATTTAATATTGCAAATATATCATATGAAGGTAATTCTAATGGAATTTCATGATATTTTTCCCAATTACCACATGCATACTGATAAAAATCTTCGCATGGATCAGCACTTTTATCCATATATTTTGATATTAATTCATATTGATTGATTGATTTCTCTTGTAAGTGTTTCAAAAATATTTCCTTTTGAAGATATTCAATTAATTCATCGTTATTTAAAATTGATTCTTTCAAATTAAATTCATTTTTAAATGTGTTATTGTTATTTTGTATAACAAGTTTTTCGAATGGTGATCCGTAACATTTGTAAACATAAATTAAAATAATTATTTGAATTAAAATATAATTTAATTTAAACATTATATGCAAAAAACAAAAAAAAATATTAATTAGTTTTTTTTATGTTCTTATTAGTTCACTAACTTTTTTAAGACTGGCATAAAATAAATCGATGAATGAATCTCAAAATAGTTTAAAAAAGCTTTTTAAAACAAAAAATTCTGTTTTGCTTTTGTATATATACAAACTTATGTTTTAAAATACTAGACTAGTAATAAAATTATGTTAAAAAAAATCATTATTATCAATTTTCTTATCAAATTGCTGTTTTTCTGTTTTATTAGAATGTTTTTAAAATTATATAACTACAATAATTGTTATATAAATATAATTGTAACACAATTAAAACATAACGTTACATACACATGCAGATGTGAAATGCAAAACGAAAAAGGAAAAAAATGTGACGTCATAGAATTTGGTAATGAAGACTATGTGTTTGTTTTTAAAAATTTAAAATGCTCTTAATATAATTGATTCGTCTGTTCCTATACAATTTTTATTTTAAATATCATTAAACGAACATTCAGTAGTAAGTATTTTCTTAATATTTCGTAAGAATAATTTATAATTTGGTTTTATTTGTAAAAATTGAAATTATTCCATAAAATCTGGAACTAGAGCCCATTGTGAAAGAGTCAATTGTGACCGTTGGTGAATTTTAAAGTAAATATTCAAAATTTTCAACCCAAAATATTAAGAAGTATTAAAATATTTTATAATAATTTTTTGCACACCTATGCAGATAAAAATCAAATTATTGTAAAAAAACTGGTATAAACTAATTTGTTTTTGGTGAGTACAATTTTGAGCTTTTTTTGTTTCAAAATTTTGTTATTTAGAAAATTAAATTTCCCCCTTTCTTTTTAATTGAATATAATTTTTCAGAACATATTTTCATATATTTATATAATAAGGTTTAAATATTTCCATTTCTATTTTTCTTGCTTGTTTTTTAAATCAATTATATACCTATATGTACATACATATATATTCGGATCGGGGAATTAATAATTATTAAATTATTGCTTAAACAATATCTACATATATAAATGCGATGTAATTTATGATAATTTAATAATTTTTTTTAAATTAGATTAAAATTATTTTTAATTTAACAATTAGTATCAAATATTAAGCAGTTCGAATAAATAAATATTGAAGATTAAATTTATTTTACAGATACATATATATATTCTAATATGTTGAATTTTGAAAATATTCTGTTCTCATTAAAGTAAAAGATTTATATTATATTACTTATAGATCTATATTTAATTCTGATTTAAAAATCCTAGATTTTATTCGGTAAATATTTATCAACTTTCGCTTTAACATTTCGTTTTGCAGTTTATATTGTATACATATATAACCAAATCGGTAAGGCTTGTTTTTAATTAGCTTTCCATAGTCACAACAATTTTTTATTATTTTCTATAACAATTTTTATTAATTTAGATTTTTATTTGCTTCATTATTTTTAACTCTTTTTCAATATCTTATGAGATCGATTAATTACGGTTCTTATATGGCTCTTGATTGTACCTATTTATATTCAAGAAAAATTAAAATTAAATTGTTTTTAAGTTTTATAAAAATGTTAATTGTGAAATATTATTAACACTAGTGCATTTCGGCTGTACTTTTATATTATACACCATTAATAATTTTAGTATTTTGATGAAAATGAAACGATTTTGCAAAATTATTAAATTTAATAATTTGAAAATTTTTTTTTTTAATTTTTAAATTTTCAAATATTCGACGAGCTTTATATTTATTTTGCTTAATTAAAAGTTGAAGATTTGACATCTTTTACACATTCTTTTGCAATAAAATGATTCAAAAAACATTCCCGTAATCCCGTATCCTATAATGGAATATTAATATTTTTGATAATTCTAGTAGTAGTCGAAACGTTGATTTCAATAGAATGCATTATTGTAATTGTATACTGTCTTATAAGTTTTAATAATTCCTGCACCCACATATTTTTGAATAAATTTAGTATATCTTATTTTTTCTTTTTTTATTTTCAAAAACGCCTAGTATAACTTAAATATTTGAAATATGTACATATGTACATATGTATGTACATAAAATATTCAATGATTTGTTTTTTATTATTTTGTTTTAATTTACACGAGTTGAACTATTGACTTTTTATATAAATTTTTTGAAAAAAAAAAAAAAAAATTAATTTTTTTCTTTAAAAAATTTAAATAAATTTACTAACTTGACAATTAATGCTTACTTAATTTTTAAATAGATGTTTGATCTGTTGATGTTTTAACACATTTACTTAAATAATTTTTAAAAATGATACTAAGTATCGGAAAAGGAAAAATAAAAACTCAATAAATTGAACAAAAATTATTAAAATTAAATATTATTATTGGGAAATTTAGCAATACTTATACATATAAATTTTTTAAAATTTTTAATTTTAATAAATAAAATTAAAATATTATTTTTTATACTTATTAGAAAAAATAATTCATGCGACAATTTACAAACTACGTGCAAAATGCGTTAATCATCCAAAGTCTTTAACCTAAGCCGGTACATAAAGAAGCACATTTACTTAACAGATTACTGAAAATAGTCATGGGTTAAAAAAATTCAAGAAATGCTTAATTACACACAAGTAAAAATATTATTAAATTAATAATCTGTTTTCATATTCAAACAGCAATATAAAGCGTTTGTCGGGGCAATTTGATATACGATCAATATATTGTAAAAGAAATTTAATTAAAAAGTTCAAGATTCCCTCAAATGAAAAGTGACAGCATAATTCAGGCAAAAATATTAATTAATTAAATTCACAGTTTATAATGTGTGCATATGAAACATTTTATATTTGTTCACTGCACTTTTGAATGTGTTTTCGTTGTATTTATGTTTATTTACATTCATATAAATGTATGTTTAAATTGTATAATATGATTTTCAAATGAATTAGTCAAGAAATTAATTAATTTATTGAAAAAAAACAAAAAACTGCCTTACGGCTTATAAGGAATTTTTGCTTACACACCTATACTTATATGTATGAATATGTATAACAATACTCATAACTAAATAAACATTAAATTAATTTTTTAACTGCAACAATGAATTTTTTTAAGCTTTTCTTCCTTCAATTTTTTATTACTGGACCATATACATACTATCGATTTGGTTCATTTTATGACATATGTATGAATAACACAGACAGATTTCCTTCAAAATTAAAACATGAAAGTTGCTAAATAACTTTATCCTTTTTTCATATACTGTAAATGAGTTTATCGTTCATATACTCCTATCATAATGAGGGTAATAATTCATGTTTTCTTATGCGAAGAATCTTACTGAGGCTATTGATCAGAAATCTTACAACTATTAAAAAGCTTTCAGGATTTTCGATAATTCAAACATGCACTTAAAGTTCTAAATTAAATTTTATTTTTACATCTGTATATCATTTTTATTTTACAAATCTGAAACCGAATATTTTGCTTTCGCAGATTTGTAACATACCGTGACTTCAATAATGCTTTAAAAAAGATTTAAGTACGGTATTAATACGGTATTAGTACCGTCTCAAAGCTTTCAATACCTTTACTCGAGTAATACTTTTCAAGAGTCAGCATTGTGTTTATTGTGCTCTGCTTCTTATTTAAAATTTCTTTTGCTGTATGAAAAAACTTAGAAATTCCTTAAGGATTTAATTACAACTGTAATTTTCGAACATGCTTTTTGCAGATTTTGCAGTTTAAATTTATCGAACGTACTATATATTAAAATATAAGTTAGAACTGAATTATCTTTTATATATTACCTCCGTAATAGAAATTTTAATTTTTTTTCATTCTTGTATCAAGACTGTAAGATATGAAATCTTCAAGAACTTCAATGAAATCTTCTTATTTTTAACAATCACAGTTTCTGATCATCGACGTCTGTATTTTTTAATTATTTAAAATTAATAATCTGCTTTTAATGATCATAATAAACTATTCTCATTGTTATGTAGTTTTATATTAAATAATAAACGATAAAATAAAACAATTTAAAATTAATTTGTTTTATTAATAAAGTATATTTCACTTCTATTTTTAAAACATTTTATTCGTTTAATTTTGTGTAATTGTTACAAGCCAAAGAACTATTATTTAGTTTACAAATAATTTCACATTTTTTTTGTTAGTTCGCATTTTTATTTTAACTTTTTTTTTTTATTTTTAAAGAATTGAAAGTAAAAATTCAAATGTGATATCTTTAAATTTATTATTTTTATATACAATTATTTTATTTTGTTAAATATAACTTTAAATTTAAAACTTTTTGTTTTTTATATCGTGATTTAATCTATTCTTAATTCATATATTAGTTGTTTATATATATAATTTTTTTATTATTATTATATAAATTTAATTTTTCTGTCAGCTTTTATTAAAATTTTATTATTATAATACAATACATGTTTCTTATATACTTTTAAGTACCTTGTATTTTTATATAATTATATTTTAAAAATTTTTATATATTGTATTTATTGTATATATTTTTTTTTATATATTTAATATTTTTTTCTTTTTTTTTAATAATAAAAACCATTTATACACTTATATAAACTTTGTATACATTTATATATACACTGCAAAACATTCCCAGCCAAATTTTTCTATATTATAATGATTAATTATTATTGAATTATTAATTGTATGTTTTAATCAATAAAAATGTTCTTACTTAATTTTAAAATTATTTTTGTTATTTAGCATTAAAAAATATGTGTTAGAGATTCTCTTTACAAATATTTTTTTGAATTTTGTGTGTTTTCTTTTATATTTTTTTTTTCACTTGTTTCATTTTGAATAAATAAAATTAGTTTCGTTTTTATGTTTTTTTTTTTATTTTATTGAAAAATATTTGCGATAAAGTGAAGAAATGGGGGAAAAATTTTGAATGTTTAATTTTGAAAAATACTTGAAAAAATGCAGTGACTTTTTATTTATTGAATTAATTTTGATAAATTTTGGAATTTTAATTTTGTTTTATTGTATGACAATGTTTAAACTTAAAAATTCAGACTATTTATTTTGATAAATTTTTATAAAATTTTTAATGTATTTTGAAACTCAGTCAATGTCCTTTAAGGAATCATTTATATGCGGAGATTAAAATTTAATTTGATACTATAATAATAAAAAAAACAACTTGAACGAAAGTTTATCGATATTGTAATGTGAAAGGAAATGCTATTAAAATAAAATTACATGTAAGTAAAAACTGTTTAAAAAATATTATACAAAATTTCTTAATTTTCAGTTTTTTTAATTACATTAAAATTGTAATGAAATAATAAATACATATAAAAATCCGGATTTAAGATCAAAATTGAATATATATATAAGTATAATTCGATTAATTATATAAATTGAAAGTAAGCGATTAAATTTTAGTTGAATCTAGTGCATTTGATAGAGAAAGGACATTGTCATACTTCCAAGAAATTAAATTAATCCTTAAAACAAAAAAAAGCACATAACTTACTTACTTAACGATATTATAGAAAAATAAAATGAGATCAAAATATTTATTGAATTTTAAAACTTTTTCCAAAAGAATTTCATACATTAATAAGTTTTAAAAACAAATTTTGTTAAAATTAATTTCTCGAACACAATATATAATAATGAACATATATAAAATATATTATATACGTTTTGTGTTTTCTAAATTTGTTTTCTTTTTCTCAATTTGTATATAGTTTTGAGTTTTATTAAAGCAAATATTTTTTTGGTTGACATTTAATGTTTATTATTTATTCGTTTTTTTTTTTGTAAGTACAATAAAATTCAAAAATATCAAACTTAAAATGCTAGTCTTAGTAATTATTCCATTTATATTAATTATTTTTTTTTTTTTTCATTTATTTTTTTTTCTGTTAATCTATGCAAATAATAATAGTACATAATCCCATAGATTTAAAAGAAAAATATTTTTTTGTATTATATATTTAAAACAATATTAATAATGTGTATATATACATTTTTTTTAATTATTAATTACAATTTAAAAACTAAACTGCCCTACACTTAGTACTATTTACAAGTAAATTATTAAAATATTTTTGTTTTATCTTTTATTAGCTTTAAATTTACTAAAATTATTATTTTTTTTTTTTGTTTTCTTTTATCAAAAATTTATTGTTTTTTAAGAGTAAAATTTTATTGTTATATATTACATTTTACAAATTTTATTGTGACATGTAAAAATTAAAAAAATATGTTTATTTTTGTGTATAAATAAGAATATATTTTAAAATCATGCACATTTTTTTTGTTAAGACTTCACCAAATTAGATGAAGTTTAATTGTTCTGTTTCAGTGAAACTATGTTCGAAGATAAAATAATATGTAATTGTTATGATTTTTGAAAAGTTTAAAATTTATTAAATTACAAACTATGGAAATTAGAATGAAATCATTTTAGGAATGCAGAAAATATACTTGTACTGCATGCATATATATTTTATTTTTTTTTTAATTTATAAAGGCATTTTTGTTTTTTTTTTATAAATTTCGTATTTGAGTGATTGAAAGTTAATAAAATTTTTAATATTTTAAAATTTAGAAAAAAAACTATTTTAAAAAATTTTCGTATTTATTTAATAGTTTAGGGACGATTTGTTATACACTAAAACTTTTTAAGTATTAGATCCTTTATAAAGTTTATTATTAGCTCATTATTAGCTTATGTAAATTCGTTCAAACGAAAACAAAATTTTGAAAAACTACTAAGATTTTAAGTGAAATCAAGTATAATGTGATGAAAAGTTTTCAAAAATTCTTATTTAAAGTAAAATATTTATTATAATATAAAAAAAAGATGATTTTTAAAATAATTTCATTTTAAATTTTGCTTTGATATTTTTTCTTGGTTATTAATAAAAATGAATTTAAATTTATAAACAATCTTATAAAAACAATAAATTTGATGTAAATTTTTGAACTCAACATGAGTAACATTAAAATTTTATTTTGATATATTTAAGTTTTGTATTAAAAAATACAAATTTGTTATCTTTAATTGAGAAAATTAAATTCAATCAAGTATTATAATAAAAAAATGTATAAAACTTCAAGTATGCAATATTAAAAATTAAAATTAGAAAAAATAAATCCAACAAGAAAAATCAGCTTTGAATTTATTAAAAATTTAATTATTTTATAGTAGTTGTTAATTATAATTATAATAATTATGGTAGGAAACAAGAATGTAAGCAATTTCTTAAAGCATGCAAACAATCTATTATTATTTTACTACCAAATACATCTATAAATAATTTTAATTTTTATAAACATTTTTGAGTTCTTAAATTTGAAAAATTTTTTTGTTGTTTTTTATCATTTTCTTTTTTTTTTTTTTTGCAAAGCAATACTATCTTATTTCACAATCAAATATTAAAATAAATCTCCAAGTATCAATTTTATAACACAGATATTTAATGAAAATTATTAATTCATTCAGAAAAAAAAATAATTTTAAATTTATGTAACTTAAAATGGTATAAGAAATAAAAAAAAAATAATATTAACAAAATTTAACAAGAACTAAAAAGTAAAGAAATAAAATTATAGCATTTTAAAAAATTTTTTGTTTTATTAAAATGCCAAAAACTCAAAACCAAAAGCAGAATAAAACAGTGATTCTCATTCTTTCTGATGATGCTGTGATGATGATGGTGAAGGTCTCTGTTGCGATGAATGATGTGTTGAATGATGGTGATGTGGATGATAATGATGACTATTACTTGTTGATATGATACCAGAAACATTGGCGCCAGCAGAATTTCCGCCAATTGCACCATTTGCATCAAAAGCATTTGTTGTAGCAGCTGTAACAACTGCTGTTGCATTATTTGATATATTTGTATTTGTTTCAACTGGTTTATTTGTATCTCTTCGTATTAAATAAACAGAGCCATCTGCAGCTTGTTGCAAACTGTACTCATTCGGAGAACATGGATTACCATCTGGATCACGAAGATACTTATAAAAAGAAAATAAAGAGAGATAGAAGAAATTATAAATAAAATAAGGATTTAAAAAATTATAAATTGCAAACGTAAATGTATAACTTACTTGGAATATATGTCTGTGTAAGGCTGCAAATTTGTTTGAAACTCTATTTCGTTCGGTTACCAACATATCTCTTTCTGAATAATATTGTTCTTTTTTCCTTCTAACTTCTTTTACTTCATCTTCTAGTGATAAAATTTGATCTAGTTTTCGTTTTCTACAATTTTGTGCTGCAACTTTATTTTTACCACGACGTCTTATATCTCTGATCAATGATAACTGACTTTCTGTTAAATCATATTTTGACAAGCGCTCATTAAATTCATCCATTGGCAAATTAATTATTTCATGAACTGGTATTGGTATATTAAGGGACCGTGCACGTTTTTCATCACGTGTCAAGTGTTCTTCTTCAGCTTTTTTAGATTTTTTATCACGTAATTGCGGACGTGGTGTAGAACCGCTGCCTTGTGGCAGAGTATATGTATGATTGTGACTAATAATTTCATGTGGTGTACGTGGTGTACGAGTTGGAAAATCTAAACCACCCCATCCATATTTAAAATCAACATTTGCCATATGATGTTCTTTGCCAATCAATGGTCCAACAGCACCTTCCATATTATTACTTGCGATGCCTGTTGAAGCAGTTGAATGAAGTCCCGTATATGGGTCATATTCATATTTGATTGAACCAGCTGTCATATGATCAACCGTATGAGGTGGTGGTATAACAGCACTGGATGCATGTGGTATAGTTGGTAAATTTGCAGTGGCTGGTTGATCTTGGAAATAACGTTTTCCGTACATTTGATGTTTTTTCTGTGCTACCGGTGGCTGGCGAGCGGAATCTCTACTATAACTGTAATCATGTGGTCTGGTTCCAGTTCCGGTATTAGTGGCAGCACTACCATATTTTCCTTGATGATAATCTTGAGCAGAATCGCTTCCTTCACCCCATTCTCCATCAGAAAGTGAAGGTACACGCTCTGAACCCATTGAACTGACAGCACTGTCACTTGAAGCATCTAAACGATCACCCGTTGAACCCATACCATCACTTCCTAAAGATGTGCCAACAATATTTCCGTCATTATTATGCATTCCAGCATTCCGTAAATGATTTGGTAACTGTGATGAATGCAACTGGCTTGAATGACCACTTGTCGAACCTAAAGCTGATGAATTATTACTCGTAGCATTACTGTCGACCATTCTCATCGAACAAAAACCTATAGAAAAAATATTTTGTGAACATTACAAATTACAAAATTTAACTTATTAAATTTATTTAAGATAAATTGCAATTACCTTCATTTACTCCCATGTCCATTAATTGTAAATCTTCATCATTTAAGATTGAATTAATAAAACCATCTGCTGTATGATTTAATTCTGATGACGTGTTCTAAAAAAGTAATAATTGAATATAATATGTACATAGATTTGTTCATGTAAAGATTTGATGTATTTTTAATTTTTCAATTTAAGCATGTATATATATGTAATTTTGTTTTATTAAAATTTCACTAACCGAATAGTACATCATGTCGTGTTCCATTTTATATGCTGTTCCACTTGCATCATTTTCATGACTAGCATTTGTCAAATGCATACTCGATGTTACAGCGGAACCCAAATTATGACCATAATGGGGTTGTGGTCCACCAAGTTCAGCTGCTAATGATGAATTATGTAGAACTGGATGATGTGGAAATTGTCCATGTTGCATTGGAGGGCCACTCTAATTTTGTAAAATGATTAATTATTTGAGAAAAATTAACAGGTACATACATATGTATGAGTTAATTAAGAATTATAAAAATATTAGTGAAAATTGACTTACTTGATAATAAGGACTTGGATAATGAGAATATGGTGCCATTTCTCCAACGCCAACTCCCATCGGATTGAACAAACTAGCTATATCTTGGAGCCTTTGCTCCATTGATACACCTCGGCTTAATGGAGGTACTCTTGACTGTAACAAAGAAAAGAAAAAATTAAATACTAACATGTAAGTAACTATTGATGTTTGTTCCAATACATATGTATGTTAAAACTTGTAGTAAACGCATGTTCATATCGTTTTAAACATAAAAAAAGTATAATTAAAAAAGTTCTATGTATCTTTTAGCTAGTTATGTTTACTGCCAGCAGTAAACGTCCCGGCCGGAAAAATATTGAGATCATCAAACATTTTAAATAAAGAACTTACTAAAATAAATCAGAACAAAAATTTTTAAACTCGTTTATATTCAAAAACTCCTTTTGACAAGTTGACACACACTTATGAAAGCTACTTTAAAAAGCTTGCTGTGTCTTTTTTTATTATTTCTGACATACGAGATTAAATCAATTGAAAATATGTACATATATAATAAATAAAAACAACTTAAATGTCTGTTTCGATATTATTCTTTCAGTGTCTTAAGAATGAATTTTAAATCAAATGAATCTTAAATTTAAATGTTATTACATAAAAAACTGACTAACCAGATTTAATTATTAAAATTTTTATTGAAAATCTTAATGCGAATATATTCTTAATTTTTAATTGAATTTCATTTTTTGGGTAAATGCAATATTTGTACCCTTGTTTTGTAGGTATATAAATTGTAAGAAAATTAGGACCCAAGTTTAAAATTTATTATTAGATTGTCATAAAATTAATAATTATTGAATATCTCTGCTATATTTTTCAAGGACTGTAAATCTATTTATTTTAAAATGTTGTAGAATATAGTTAAAATTTAAGAACATTTTATTTTACGGAAGATAACGTGTTATTTACATAATGTATATATTAATTTTTTGAATTTACCTAACTAAGTACATAATAATTAAAAACACAATATTATTTATAATTAGGCAAGTCGCACTGCAATGTTATTTTAAACGTAGCTATATATTTTAAATTTTTTCCTTTCTAATTTTTTAATGTTTACATTTTGAATTTGACATGTTAATTATTTTGTATTTTAGACAAATTAGAATGTCAATTTGAAGTTTATTAGAATACTAAGTTTGCTATTAATTTTTGTTTTTTTTTTTTTTTTTGCTATTTTAATAATCTTTTCTAATGAGAGTCATTTACAAGTTTTTCTTCACTGGTCTGGTCGATATTTGTTATAATAAAGTTTATATTTTTTAATAGTTGTTATTTTTTATAAAATAATACATATATTGAATGTCAATCAAGGAACAAGAAGAATAAAAAAAATAAAAACAAAGAAATGAGAAATAAAACAATGTAACAGTTCTAAAGCGTGTAAAAGTTACGCCGAGTTTTTATTCACCTTCTGTAACCTTTTAATGGTACTCATTTTATAATAATTGAAAAAAAATTAAAAAATAAAAATTAATATATTTTATATTATTATTTTTATATAACATATAATGATGTAATGTATATATTAAATGTATAACAGAATCTTTACATACATATGTATATATATAATATTTATAGACAAATAAAATGGATTTTATTTTATCATCAGACTGTGTTGTAATCAAACATTGTATAGATCGAACATTTAGAATGAGACATAAAAATCTATTTGAAGACCTATGATTAACTAATGAGTAAAAAATTAACAATTAATAAACATGTTTCATGTGTCAATTTAGTTTTATGCAAAATTCATTAATTACGATTTAAATTTTAAAAGAAAATTATTTTCCATAATATTTATAAATAATTGTAAAGTTTTGTTTTCAATTTTTTCTTTTATAATTAATACTGGCATAACTGTGCAAAGAAAAATAATGCACTAAGAATATTCAGAATTTAGATGCAATTAAATAACATTGGTTTTAGTTTTTCATACTGAAATATGTGAAGTTCGGGGCATGGTTGTCTTTTTAACCCATTCACTGCCAGACACGAGATATCTCGTAGTAAAATGTTCTTAAAATATACCACTACGAGATATCTCGTAGTTAAAACCGGGAATGTTACTTCTATTTAAAATCAATATGGCACAGCTAAATTAATTTATTTTTGTATACTTTGGCACAGGAATAAGTTCATTTTACTTGAAAGAAAATTTTTTTAGTTCGAGCATAAACGGAAAATCCCGAAAATTTATTTTGTTCTGGAATGGAATTTTATGCAATTTTGGAATGGAATTTTATAAAATTTAGTAGTGCTCAGTTTTTCGAGATTAAAGGTTGTTTGAGTCTCGAATTTCTATTTTTGTTTATTTTTAAGGAATTTCCTGTAAATTTTGTGTACATTAAGGTATTATTCAAGCAAATTAAATTTATTCGTGTTCAATTGATGGAGTTGTAACATTAATTTTAGTTGATTTTTGATAAAAAAATGGTGACTCATCAAGTGACAACGATTTTTCAGATGATGATGATGATTATATTCTAGAATAAGTTCTACAGGTCCTTTGTAGTTCTTTTTAGAATTTTACTTCATAATTTATAAAACAAGATAAAAGTTGAGAAATGACAGCTGGGGACAAAATGAAAAAAAGCCCTCGGCAGCGAATGCATTGAATATTTGTAAAATTTAAAATAAGATTTTTAAATCTAATTTTACATGTCTGTACCAACTAACCTAATCATAATTGAACATAATTACATCATAAATTGAACATAAATAATGCTTGCAAAATTAGTTCATATATGTACATAGTTAAAGTTGTATGACGTCAAAGTAACAAACTTATAATGGATTAAAAAATAGGAATTATGAAAATTATTAAAGTTTTTCAAAAATGATAAGTTTGTAAAGGAGTAGTTCACGTATGGTCCATAGTTGCTTCTCCTAAGTTAATACAACAATTTTTACTATGACTAAAACTGATCAATCCACAGACGAATGTTAAGAAAAAATTGTAATATAAGTCATACTGCATTTATTATTATCAAGAAAAATAGGACTAATATGAATATCTTACGAGTAGGTGATAATCTTAATATTCTTCAATTAAGTTAAGCCATGTATGAAAATTCGAAATTTTTAAAGTTAAAGAATTTTTTCTTTTATTATAAGATCGACTAAGTATATGTATAACATTGTACTGTTTGAAATTTATAGAAACATTCTAAATTTAATAATAGTTTTTTTTTTTTAATTTTTGCTCATTAAAATATCTTGAATATTATGTCAATAAAAATGACAACCATTTAAAGTTAGAAATAAATTATTAACAGAAAATGCTCCTAACTAGTAGTACCTACATAAATATTATGTAAATATGTATGATTACAAAAAATTTCAAGTTCATTTCAAACAAATTTGATTGATGTGTCGATTGTAGATTTGAAACAAAAAAAAAAATATAACTACTTTTTTTGTCTAACTTATGTAATTTTCGTTACAATCATTAAAGGATTATAATTAATTGATTCATTTATAAATTCAAATGACATGATTGCTTAATTATACATATATATGCATACATATACCATAAACAATAATGTAGTATTTCTAGTGTCTAAATTATTTTATTATTCAAATAATTAAGAACAATTTTTCAATGAAATCATATAAAATTAAGCATATATAAGAAAACAAGTTTTCGTTGAATCTTGCACTTTAATTATCAATATTATGGCATTTAGAATATTTATTTGTATATATGTATATATAGAAAAATAATTAAAATTCTTTTAAAAAAAACTCTAAGAGACACTGTTGAAATATTGTGAAAGAATTTTTAATAAAATTTATTGAAAAAATTATAGTAAACTTTTTATCCTTTGTACTGTGTAGGGCAACATGTACATATATATATGCATATATATATATATATATATAAATTTGCAATTTGCACTTAAACGTTAATTAAGGATAATTTTTAAGAGTATAAAATCTTAATGTTATATTTAGTTGTATTCTTTTTTCAAAAGATGTGTATTAAAATAACTACCTGTAATTTGACATAGAAAATCGGGTTATTCTTGCTAAAAAAATATTTTAGCTTAATGCTTTGCTTTGAAACTCAATTATATTTAATCGAATCGGGCAAAAAGTTAATTAAAAATATATACTGCAAAATAATATTTTATGTAAATCAGTTTAGATTAAATTAGATTTTTACATTTTGATAACAAATTCTGTTTTGAAATAAAAAGTAAAAACACATACGTCATAATATTTGATTTTGCAGTTGAATTTAGAATATTTAATAAAGTTGGGTAAAAATAAGCGATTATGAAGTAGCAATTTTCTCTTCAATAAATGAGATCTATGTATTTTAAAATTGATGTACTAAAATATTTGAAATTATTGCATAAATTTAGGATGAAAAAAAAGAATTGAAAAACACGCTGATATATTGATTGGATTCTGGAGTTAATTGCGTGAGTTGAAACAAATAATATTATATTTCTTTGATGGTTTCGAAATTGCCTTCTAGTTTTTTGCTTTTATAGAAATGTAGAAAAGCTTATGCAGTTTCGGAAATATAAGATGGCGAAAATGCTAATTTTACAAACTTGAGCGGCGGCAATGGAAGTGAAAAAAATTTCCGAAGTTAAATATTTTTTAGTATGTTAAAGCTACATAGTAAGATTTTAGGCCCTTACAATTTATGGTCTAGAAAAAAAAAGGCAATATTAAAAAAAAGCGGATTTCAGAAAATGGTTAATTTTGTCGACCATTTTATTATTTTGACAACCGTGTGGAAATTTCTTTTGTTTACTAACGTAAACTTTACCTCCGTTATGATGATTTAATTTTATCGTATATTTCGAGATTATAATTTTTCAAGTTCAAACGCTTAAAAACCTATCATTGTACCTAAATATGCTTTTACATAAGTATATACATTTTTTGTTATTTGAATGAGTTCTTTGTAATGTTTTAGTTTTTGTGATAGAAATGATAGAAAAATTAAAAGTAATACCCTGTACATGTATTTAAATCACATATTAAAACGTGCACATTATAACGTACATATGTTAAATTTGTATTTAGAGAATTCTTTGCAATTCTAACCATGAAATATGAATATAATATTA